TGTCAAAGGAATCCAAGTATATGAGTCAAAAAGTAGAAATTAAGTTGCTTATAAGCTAAAAATTGAGGAGAACATAAGCCGATGCCCGTAAGAATTCATCCTAAGGACTACAGAGTTCTAGAGCTCCTTGTAAATTCAGTCTTACGAGGATTTAGACAACCTAACCTTGCACTTTAGCATGCTTGGATGGTGACAAATTGGACGCGCCAGCTACATTTGCTTCACAATTTCCAACAACTTCAGACTCGTGAGCTTTATGTTTCTCTCCCACATCCCGTAAATTTTCCCTTGCTGGTACATTAGATGATTTCCTGCCTGTTTCCCTACTGTTGACTAATACTCCTGAATCAGATTTGGATAGAGCATTTCCCACTGAATCCATGAACTCCTTTAAGGAGTTGTCAGTCGCAGATGAAGTCCCCTTGAGCATGTTCATGCCCGACTTGCACTGCTTCTCAAACATCATCCGAAGGTGACGCCTTTGCTCTTCCATTCGAAGCTGCAGATTTCTTTGAATCTGCAAAAGAATAATTAGAGAATAATGTATGAAGGTAATAAGCAGAAACTGCTAGTTACACTCAGAATTTTAATCCCTAATTCTCCTTCGAATATGTGACATAAAATGCCAGTTGTAAAATCTCGACTAAGCTGCATCACTTTCCCAAGGCTGTAGATTTGATACTAGGGAACTTATCAAACAAGACAGTAGCTGTGCCACCTATAAAAGATATTTCACTATAATACTAACCAAGAAAACAAGATCCCTCAGCAAATTATCAAACATAGCAATAATAGAAGACTGCATTAATAATATTAACAATAGTAAATATTTCCCTGTTGCTGCAAGAAGCATTAATATTTTGTTTATGTTATGTATCAAATATTAAATTTTGCATCAGCCAAATTACAACTTAGGAACCTGATATGAGGTTTAACCTGTATTATATGCCACCTTCAAGTTAAAACCAATATGCCACGTGAATTCATACCTCTACTGCACTTGAAGCCGCTTTTGGACTCCATTTGCATTCTCAATGCTACAGTCATCTCAATGCCCCTATTCGAAATCAAGAGGTGTGCAATCAGCAATAGAACATAGAGTATATAGAAAACTAAAAGGAAACTGAGATGTGGAACGAGGGACCTTGGAGTCAACATAATGAGGATACGTAAGTGATGTCCCATTGTTAGTTGATTGAGATACGAGATGAGATTGTCTTGGATGGTTTTCTCGTCGAGGCAGAGATGAAAAATGAAGATCAGTAGAAAATCCTGAGGATGAAGAAA